ACAACAGGTGGTGAACAAATTTGGGATGATATACCTAAACAATTTCGAACACTTTCATTTAAATATTTAATGTTTAAAGAATGCTTTACTTTGATCACAAATTACTTCTCGCGATACGTTAGATTGTGGAAATAGACGACTTGCATTCTACTGTTACAAAAACGCTTGATTTAGCATCCAAATGAAACAGTGTAGTAGTTTCAGAATGTAGACCATGTCAAATAATTGATATACCATAGTGCACACGTATGGTGTTGATGCGCACGTACATAATCTTTTCGGCGTACGCAAAGTGGCCATTTTACTTGTTGCTTGTTTGCATTGTTCACGAGAAACGAAGCAGACAAACATAAGTAGATAAACAGACATTGGGAGAGTGCAACTTAACTGCTCGTCAGTATTTCTAGATACATATACGTGTACTTCTTTTTTGAATATTGATAATGACAGATGTCGAGGGGAGGAAGCTACATGTATTGGGCATTAACTTACTATTTAGGATTTTAAAATCGTTTAGCTGGCATCACAGTGTTTACGAAGATTGCAAATAGTTGTGAAATTTCAAAACATTCATGAAACATTCGCTGTCTGTTTGGGTACATGTTCATGTGTCGTTTTTTTCCATAATATGTTTAGATTTTGAAATCTTCAAAATATTGTGCAATTTCAAAACATTCATGAACCGTATTTCAAAAAATTTCGTGCTGAAATTTCGACGTAATTAAGCATCGTTACCAAATGAAATATTTATTATTCTCTAAAACTAAAATAAGTTTTTGATATCCACTTACGTATTTATTGGATTATTTTAATTAGTCGAGCAATTACTGCATATTTATTTATATGAAATGTAAATAGTAAAGATCAAAGGTTAAGTTCTATTTGTCATCGCTACGCTAACTAACTGATCTGCGTTGGGATGACCCAGCGTACATTACGGCTTCAATGTTATATATTTGCTCGGGGTCGGCCTTCCATGTATTGTTTTACCAGCTTCTGTCAGCATAGAAAATGAATCGATAGTATGATGCTATTATACCATGATATTAACTAGTTTATATTGTAATGATTCCAGAAAGCCTATAGATGATTGGGGTAAATATTCGTTGTCCGGTATATAATATAATGAATGAAAGAATGAAATTGACTTTAATGCCCTACTGTCCTGCACCAACTGGGATAATTAAGACGGGCATGCGCGATACAGTGTGCTATGAGGTGAAATGAACCCGGATAGCAACTGGCAAGGGTTCATTTATATACACGCCCACGTATAGGCTACATAGGAATTCGGTTTTTCGTCTAATTCGAACGACTAGACTCCGTTCCTGTCCAGGCCCTCCATCTTGCACCCCTGACAAGGGAAAACCACGTGGAAAAATCCCGGGAACTTTCTCGACCAACACTGGGATTAAACCCTGGATCACCCGGTTAGTGAGCCAGCGCCTTACTATCTAAACCACGGTGGCTCCCTCAAAACGTATAAGTATGTTAATACAGATCCTAAATCAGAGGCGTGTGGCCAAGTTTGTGGGCATTTCCAAGAATAAAAGTGTGGTTAACTATAATTACATATGACACACGCTTGTCATCGTTTCCAGCTTTGATAATTGGTCTTGACATGATTGGGTTTAACGAATGCTAACGTGCACTAATAAATCAACGCAGTGCAGACATAGACATATTATGTGTCTTACAATAGTGTATGGAGTAAACGAATAATGAATTTTGAATGAATTCGTCTCAGAGATACAGTAAAGGAACAATTTGTCTGGAATAAGACGAATGAATTCATTCCAAATGCTAGTTTAACAGGTCTAGTTCAATTTAAGAAAGAATAATATTCCTTGTTTAACCGTTTAGTCAGTCATCGTTTAGAAAAGGATATACAAATGTAGTCATGCTGTATACGGCAATGCCATCACATTATTGTCGGCCATTACTGAAGCCGTTGATCGCCATTTTCATTTTTCGGGGAATATTTCATTTTTTCACGTTTTAATCCACAATAATGTGTAATCAGATTGATTGTTTAACATTTAATTAATGAATCAAGAAGAAACCAAATTTATATCTACGGTCGATAATAAATTTAGACCTGGATTCAGTCCGATTTAAACAGACCCATCGACATGATTATACTGAACGGAATTGAACTGATATTTTATTTTGGTAGGGATTAACAATCCGAAACTTCATAATCAGAGACTTCAAAAGGTCCATTACCTCGGAATGTAAATCTAGGTTGTATAAGCTCTAATTAGAATTTCTCGCGTAACTTTAATGCCTTTTCATCCACCCCTTTTGTTCTCCGAGTGATATATGTTTTAGCTAATTCAAGAAAATGTTAGATCATTAGAAAATGACTTCACTGGCTTTGTTAACTGGATGGATGAATAACTATAAACGTTTTGAAACTTTAATGATGTTCCCTGAATGGTACCTGTTTAAGCGAATTCCAGGAAATATTAGATTTTTAGAAAATGATATAAATTGCATTAGAAAGATAAATGAATAACACCAAACGGCGTGATAACAATCATTTAAGACATATTAATTTGGCTTAAAGTAGTCTCTAACTCAATATCATCCAAAGTCTTCGACATTGAAAACACGAATTATTTGTCAATTTAAATCAACGTTGATGTAGTGGTCTTACCGGGAAAAGATGGGCTTCTGGTATGCAATATTTAAGATAAAAAAAAACATTTTACCTTGGTACACGAATCGTGTACCATAATGCGTTTTCGAGTCATTTGTAACAAGGGACCCGAAGAACAAGTCAAGTCAAACAGTGACGGCATATGTGGAGAGCATGCGCAATAAATACTATCAATGTAGACTGGAATAACCAGACGTTAGGGATTGCCATTCGATTGAGACTTCTGGCCTATTTCTCCGAAAATAACTGATTTGAAATCAGAGGAAAAACGAAAACATTCATATTACATTATTATATGCATTGCGACCCATTTATGTCAATTTCTAGGTCCCAACTATTAGCGATTTAGCTCCTTTAAATATTGACTGTGAAAGTTGAAATTGTAACAAAAATGTAGTGGCGTTTCTTTTTATTTGGGGTAGGGGGCATTTTATGATGACAGACATGATAAACGGATTAAAGACATACCGTCTAAAGACGTGAATGAGGGGATATGAAATGAAATGAAATGGGGTTTAACGTCCTACTGTTTTGCTCCTAAACTGGGCTAATGAAGACGGGTATACGCCATACAATGTGCTATGAGGGAAATTTTGCCCGGGCAACGAAGCTACGGCCTACTCTTATATCGAATTCCAACTGCCAAGGGATCTTTTACGTGCACGCCAATATGTACACGGGACCTCGGTTTTTCGTCCCATCCGAACGACTAGACAGCTTCCCTTGCCATGCCCTCCGTCCTGCATCACTGACAAGGGGAAACCACGCCAAAAAATCTGGATGAACTTTCTCGGCCAATGCAGGGATCGAACACCCGACCTCCAGGCTAGCGAGCCAGCGCCTTACCCACTTAGCCACGTGATCCCCGAATGAGGGGATACAGCGGACAGCAAACAAGAAAGAACAAATTGAAAGGTTATGATAAAGCTTGCGTACTCCTTCATTTCAGTTCCCAGATTATAACGGTGCGTCCACCACCATCGCTCATCAACCGTATCGATTGTGGAGATCCAGACAAAGAGGATGAAAAAATAAATAGGTAATTAAATTGAAAGATTATCAAGAAGCTTCTACTCCCTTCATTTCAACGCCCATGTGATAACGATACTTCAATATGATCGACCTTTACTCATCAACCGTGGCGATTGTGGAAACCCATTCAAAGGAGATGATATAGACATCAACCAATAAACATAGGTAAATCGAAAGTTTATTAAGGAGCTTCTACTCCCATCAGTCCAACTCGCAGATTATAACGGTATCTCCACGTGACCTTTATTCATCAAGCGTATCGATTGTCGATTATTAGAAAGCGCGTTATCCAGATAATGACCTAATGGTAAAACAAGATATAGATAAACAATAAGAAAAATGAGAAGAGATCAATATTTTCTGCTGAGGGAGCTCTTAGAATTTTGATTAATGTGAAATCGACCATTGGGGTAAAGTTTACACAGGATAGGACAATAAATATTAGTTATTAATCAAAATATATCTAAAATAAAAACCCAAACTCTATAAATATTGAAAGTATGGCCGTCTTTAAAGATCAAATTCAATTTAAGGCTTATTTCTTTAAATATTCGATTATCTACTAGTTTTGTCAAACATAGCAATTGTTTTATGCACATTCATTAACTTTCATTTCATTGTAAACTAGACAGAAATCCAGTGTGATTACATATGAATAAATTAACATGACAACCATGACAAATCAATAACAACATAATCTAATCATATATATATATATATATATATATGCATGACGGGCATTTATCTATTAATTATATATGAGTTATAAATATAATGGAAGCAAGATATATGTTGAAACCATATTTTGAAACGCTTCTCTTTCTTTGGTATTCGTGTTCTCCTATTTTAATACATAATTATGCTATGTTATTTCTCCTATATTAATGCATAGTCACGATATAAAGTGTAAAACAGCCGGTGAGAAAATTGTATTAAAGATTAAATCTATATATGTAAGTATAAGCTGTTTCATGTTTCATATTGTATTGCACATGTATATAACATAAAACAAACTCATAATATTAAAAACAGACAGCTGCGCTGTTGTATACATAATACACATTCCATAAAATATGATATCGGGTTTAAAATGTGTGGATATATATATATCTAAGAAAGAGGTTATAATATATCTATATTGTGTTATTACTAGATTGTCAAACAATCTCAAACAATCTATATGTCATCCCATTTTCCTAAACACTATCAGACTCTGTATATCGCTACGGTACTAAACGCCTTTGCTCGTTGGCAAAGGAATAGACCGAGAGAATACTAAACAAAGACGATTACTGACGCCACTTACCTGACGAACATTTCTATTCCTGTTGGTTCTAAAGATCGTTTTATCCCCTTCCAAGATTTTTTCAATTTAAAAACTTGCAAAGCTGAAAGAGGCAGCCGCGAATCCGTCGGGGCTGGCGGTGCCGGATCACAGAAACCATCCGCCATTTCTTCAACGGCCTCGTTTTCAGTTATCTCTGTTGGAGTTGAATGGCGACAGCCCATAGTGCCAATATCGATCCACAATCGCGATCTCTTTCTCTTTTTTTGACCACGGCTGGATTTGAGTTAGCGTGTTTCTCTTAACTTGTCATGACTGCTTTCAAAGGCCACATCAAGATGTGTATACAAAAGAAATGTGTTGTCTCAAATGGTCAAAAGGTTCGAAACTTTAATCCACACTCAAAATAACCTGTAAAATGGAAATCGATAATTTAGTCTACAAAACGGATTAAGCTAATTTGAGCAGTAAAGGAGATTATTCTCCAACAAAAACAGTGATTTATTGATAACAAAAAAGAGAAAAACTAAATACGGCTTAATAACAATAGTTTTCTTGTTTTGTGCTATTATTATTATTATTATCAATTTTTCACTATTACCATGTAGTCATTAGGCTAATACTTGTTTAATTTCAAGCAACAGGTGGTATATGTATATATATAAAATTATATATATTGTATACATCTATAATATTGGCTTAAAATAAGTATACATTTAAAACCGTGCTAATACTACGTGTAGATCTTAAGACCAGTGTTTTGCATTTTAAATATAGCGTACATACATAATCCATTTAGTAGTAACAGAAAATATAACGACTATGCGCTATTTAAGGAAAGTTATATTTAGTACGGCGCTACATGTAATTAAAATACTACAGGTATTAGTTTCTTAAATATAATCTTTTATTGGGATGCTACGAAGCCAGGGTAATACTTGACACCCACAATACGATAATTAATTGTCCGCCTGTTTTACAATTCTTTAATGTTTGTTTAGGTGGCCATGAAGCGTGGTACGCCTCTCAATAATCACCTATATTATTAACGTCCTTGGGTTGACAATCCGTTCGAATATCACAGGTCAAAGTTCAAGTAAGAACAGATGGTATCTAAAATTAGATCATAACTTTTGTATGCCAATCAATTTCTTTGAAACATACTGCCATGTAAAACATGAAAACAGATTAACTTTTTGTGGTCATTTTGAAATTGGGATTAAGAAAAACAAAAGGATTTACATGTAGTCTGTTACATATAAATGTAGATAAAAATTTTAAAAAATTAATGATATAATTTCCAAAATATACGGTCGAACAAAATAAGTTACCCATGTCAAACGCTGATGTTGATGGAGAAGAAAAGAAGTTAATAATAATTATAATAACCAGATTCTACTGGGTATAAGACGAGCTAATTTTTGTTCTTTTACATATTTGGTTATGCGTGGGTGTGGATGGAGGTAACGTCCGCTTCAGCCATAAGGATATATATGGTGATCTGTTAATTGGGATGATTGCGATTAACAATATAATGTTTCCATGACCCCTGGAGTGGACAATTTACCAATACCCCCCCCCCCCCCTCCTTTTGAGTGGCTATCCAAATGTTGTCCCTAAAGATCTGGACTGGGCACAAGAAATTAGTTATCCATACACCCCAATATCCACACATTGCCCATACATAATACAATATTTATAGGGTTATTTTAATTTGTTTATGTGTGTCCGGGAGGGGGGGGGGGGTACTGCAGTGGAGTCAAGTGGCATGGTTTCTATCCCACACCGTCTTCATTAACCCAGCCGGAGCAGAACATTTCACTTTCCCCACAGCTAAAGACCTCTATGCGCGAACGAATTATTGAAATGGAATTTAACCATGCGTTAGTGCTGAAATGAAATAATTTGTGTAAAGAAGACGTTAAACCCCATTTTTCTGTCTCTGGGTCAAAATTAGATTACCAATAGAGCTTATTCATGTTGATTATTATTGCTTTTTGAGTGTTTTCCACCAAATCAATAAATATGTTTTACATTGTTGGTAGCAACCTTTCTGTTCCTTGAAAAAAAAAAATTATATTGAATTGATTTGTAGCAAACATAAATAGATATTGACAACCTTAATTAAAGCAACTTTAAACATTAATAATATACTTTGAAATGAAATGGGGTTTAGCGTCCTACTTTTCTGCACAGTCTGAGCAAATGAGCTAATGAAGATGGACATACTATGAGAGAAACAACGCCCGTTAAAAATTCCAATTGCCAGGGGTTCTGTTACATTCGCGCTAATGTGTACAAGGGACCTCTGTTTTTTTCCCCATCCGAATGACTAGATGTGATTACCATGCCCCCCATCCTGCACAACTGACAAGGGGAAACCACGCTGGAAAATCTGAAAGAACTTTCTGGGTCAACACTGGGAACAAACCCCGGAACCCCTGGATAGCGAGCCAGCGCCGTAATCACCCACCACTCTTTAAAACGAATAAGGTCTGAATAGAAGATTCCTAGAAAACCATATCTTAGTCAAGCACAACTTTCGAAATTGTGGAGATACAAAGTTTCAGTTTCCACGTGTTTGTAACAATTCTATGCTATATGCTATTGTCTGGATAGCAATGCGTACTTGCAGACGTTACAGGGTTCTGTAAGTTATTGATAGAAATGAAATGAAATGGGGTTTAACGTCCTACTGTTCTGCTCCTATACTGGGCTAATGAAGAAGGGCATACGCCATACAGTGTGCTATGAGAGAAATTTTGACCCGGCAGCGGCACTATCGCCTACTCTTATATCGAATTCCAACTGCCAGGGGAACTTTTACGTGCATTCCAATATATACACGGGACCTCGGTTTTTCGTCTCATCCGAAGGACTAGACAGCTGTCCTTGTCAGGCCCTCCGTTCTGCACCACTAACAAGGGGAAATCACGTCGGAAAATCCCAATGCAGTTAGCCCAGTTAAATAAGAATATGTCTAGTGGGTCATACTAATCATTGACAAGAGCGATGTTTTGTCAACATCGCCAAAAGTATGGCAACAATTTTCCGACAAGGAAAATAAATGTTGTTGTAGACATTCTACACACTGTATCCAAAATTTAAATAATTTTATGAACGTTTATTAAACCTACAGACAAGCTGAAGAAGAATACACTTCTTGTACCTATAGGACGCCCTTGGTTCGGCCCCGATGCGGAACGAGAAAGTTATTCGGGATTTTTCTGCGTACAGCGTCTAGTCATGCAGATGGATCGGAAAACCGAGGTCCTGTGCAGAAGTTGGCATGCTCGTAAAAATACTATTGCCAAATAGAACAAGAGTAAGTCGTAGCACCGGTATACAGGGCTAATGTCCCCCCCCCCCGCCCGCCCGCCACCCCCTTAGCACATTGCATGGCGTATGCCCAGTCGTTTCACTGTTATTAAAGGGCACCCTGTGAAATCTGAGACTTTACTTTTAAATCAGATCCATTTCTGTTAAATTCCATTACATACTGATTGATTGGTGACATCATGTACGTAAAGTACGCTGAATTCGTCCTGATGTACCGTTAATAACTTCTACTTGATTTCTCAATTGCGGTTACTCCGCAATGCATTGATTGTCTTTTTTTTCATTTCATCTTAAAATTTATTGATTGTTCATGCTATTTTGTCGATCGATTACTTTAAAAACTTGTAACTTTTTTTATTCCTATACAGACAAAAGATCCCGTTGTAGTTTTCAATGGTCTCTTTCTATTGATTTAGTAATTTTGTTCTTATAAGTTGGAAATGCTATTTGATAAAAATCGTCCCACTCCCAATATTCTCTCGATACACACAGTCTTTTCCTATAGACATACGTGTTTATAGATTTCAGAAAGTTTAAATAAAACTAATTAATATCAAACATTTGAAAGAACAAAGGAACGTAGTGTAAAGTGGGGTCAGGTGAAATATGCAACTCACAACTCCGTATCTTTACAAACCGGAAGTGACGGTTAAATAGTACTTTTTTTTCAATTTTTAAAAAATAAACTAAATCATACAATATTAGAAATTAATTCACATCCGTGAAAACAATGAAATGTCATCTACATTAGGGACAGGTGGAACATGCAACTTAGTATTCTTTTAGACAAAAGACCACACGAATCCTGTAAGACAGACTGTTTGAATGAAATGGGTGAAGTTGTTAAAGCCATAAATTAACAGATCAATGATTACATACTGAGTTGCACAAAAGTACAGCTATTTAATATTTAGGTCAACTGGATTAATTCATAACTTAAATTTTAAATTATGGTCGTTTGAAGTTTACATTGTTTTCTATCCATACTAGTCGTCCATAATAACCGAAGGTCTTTTACTTAATTACAAAATAACGACGGTTTCTTTTATATTCAGGTAATGCACTTATTTTTTTTTTTTTTTTTTGAGTTGGCTTGTTATCTCTTTAAATCTCAGTGAAGTAAATGATTAATAGCACCAGAACTCTCTCAATATACGAAGCATCATCGGACTTACTAGTTAGTCAAGAAACAAATTTTATTGACGAATTGAACAACAATGAGCAGTGCTAAAGTGACCCACAATCCCATTCTGAGTAGAGTCTTTAAAGACGGGGGACCCTGGTGTAATGCGAAGAATAATTTAACTTTCTTTAAAGCCTAAAGAAATTCTGATATCTACATTGACTATCGAATTCTATTCTCAACCAATATCTATATTGAATGTTAAAAGTCTGGCCCGATAGTGGTCGATTTCTGCCATTAATACTTAATTGTTTGTATTGACGTCGGCAAACAACTTCACGAAATTTGTCTACTTCTTGGAGCGATACAATGTGGCCAGAAAGTGACTGAAGAAAGGCAATTCGCGTCAATCAAGAAAGCCAAAGAGCCCTACATGGTTCATAATTGTTATTCATATATCTTCTTGACAGCACTACGTCACACAATTATCTATCAAATCAATCAGTCAATCTGGCTGCCATTAAAATCAGTTTTATAATGTGAGAATAAAGTCGAGGCCAGGACTTCCATGAGTAATAACGTATTTATTCACCAGGGAAGTTTGTCATTAACCAAGAATAGTGGGTGGACTTGGCAATGAAGGTAATTGCAAATGAAATAGAGTTGAGTTTATCACTTCCCGTCACAACATGGTCATAGAAATAAGAACGACCATAGGAAACAATTAACGTATTGGCGCCTTCAATTAATACATAATCTAATGTCAGGCCAAAGGGGATATAGATATCAAAAAGATGAATTATGGTAGCTTTTTTATTTCGCTATAGAATAAAGCCAAAAATTGTAAGGCCGCCT